AGCATATGTGACAGTAATGCTGTAATTACTGTAAGTTTATGTATTTATATATATATATATATATATATATATATATTATATAATAATAACATTATATAATAAATAAATATATTATATAATAATAAATATATATTTATTATATTATTATAAATATTTATGCATATATATTTATATATATGAATATTTATATACACGTAAATATTTCTTAAATATATACATGTGTGTGTATTTATATATACATATACAACTGCAAAGTACACACAAATGATGTAAACACAAACTTTTAATTTGGACGTGATTAATCGATTTGACAGCACTAATAATAATAACAACAACAACACTAAACATTTTGATAATATAATAATGCTTTAGTTAACAGTACAGTAAAATATTTCCCTTCATACTAATATTTACTGTAAAAAAAAATTACCTAACATTAATATTAATAGTATAATTAATTCATAAATGAATAATAATACTAATATTATTACTACTACTACTACTATTATTAGTATTATTGACTTTTATTTACAAACAGCTCCACAAAATTCAGCATTTGCATAACATGAAGACTGAAATGTAAAAATAAATTATATACATATATAATTTCATTCATACATACAATGAAGCTAACATACCAAAGGTTGTAATGATTATTAGCAGTTATTGTTGCATAACAGCTGGTTGACTGTATCATACCTTCTTGCTGCAGGACTGTCTGATCTCCTCCACCTCGTCGTCTTTGCTCTCAATCTCTTTCGAATGCGTCTGTCTCAGTCTCTCCATCTCCATCTCCAGACGGAGCTTGGCCTGCAGGTCACAACATCAACAGCTCAGTGAATACAAATCCACACCTTCTGCAAGCATACATGCATTGGAATCCAGTGGAACAGGTGCTATATGCATACAGATGCATATGCAAAATATCCCAGTCGCACAGGCCAATAAAACTCTTTGTAATTATTATTATAATGTATGCAGACTGTGAGTATTGACAGTTTCTTCATACCGATCAGCTGAATTTACATGAATTAGCATATTACGCATGACAGGTGAAAATTGTGTGCATGGAGAATGTGCATCATTCCAAGAAATAATACATTAAACATCAGGCAGCTCAATAATACAGGTAACGTGTGGAGGACAGAGGAGCCTCTTAAATAAGAAGTTACAGGTCTGTGAGAGCCAGAAATCTTGCTTGTTTGTAGGTGACCAAATACTTATTTTACCGAGGAATTTACCAATAAATTCTTTAAAAATCCTACAATGTGATTTTCTGGATTTTTTTTCTCATTTTGTCTCTCATAGTTGAGGTATACCTATGATGAAAATTACAGGCCTCTCTCATCTTTTTAAGTGGGAGAACTTGCACAATTGGTGGCTGACTAAATACTTTTTTGCCCCACTGTATATCCTTATTCTCATGACATGATGTCACGAGTGTACAGCTGGTTGGAGTGTGGTGTGTGCATGGGTTTACTTAGACAAAGTTTGAAAACAAAATTGTTGCAAAAGTTAGTGAAAATTAATAAAGTTCTGACCAAGATTGAAAAAGTGTGATAGTGTGCGAGTTTGACTACCTGCTCCAGCATCTGAATGGTTCCAGCCTGTTCATCAAGCTCTTCTTCTTGATCTTTGACCTTTGCCTCAAGGTCACGAAGCTGCTTTTTAACCTTGGCCAGTGATGCTTCATCCTTTGTCTCCTGCGAGTTCAGATCTTGAAGCTCAGCCTCCATTTGCTCGAGTTTCAGATTGACAGCACATATCTCCAGATCCTTATCCTGAGAGAGCAGAGAAAAACTCATTTAGAACAACACAGTCTGGACTAAGCACACACGGGTACGTCACAGCCAGGAAAATCTGTGAGTGCGAGACAACAAAGGAGGATGATATAAGAGAGGTTGCTGACCTCCAGTTGTTGTCTAAGGCTGAACACTTCCCCGGTCAGCATGTCTTTCTCTCTGCTCAGTTTCTCCCGCTGACTCTTCTCTCTCTGCACCTCCTCCTGAGATTGAGTCTGCTCTGAGTCAAACCTGCAGACATTGCATCCACACAAAAACACACACCATCAACAAACTTAATCTTAAAAAAAAAAAAGAGGAAACAAAGGTACAAAGGCACTTTCCAGATGCTTTACTCTCTCTGTTCCGATGTGGTGGAACAAACTACCATATTGCACCTGATCTGCTGAGACCAAATAAATCACAAATAAATTCCACAAGCACTAAACTACAACCATGATAGCCCTTCATATAATACTAAATTTGAAAAAAAATTATCCAACTAATTCTACAACGTGGAAGTAAGCCTATGGGCGAGACTTCCGGTTCATTAGCTGCTATAGGGAAATAACGAGAAGAATTACAACGTGCAGTAAATGATCAACTGTTTGCACTACAAACTAGTGTGTTCAAAATTAAGATAATACCTTAAAACAATATAAGACAAGACATATTGCAAGTAATACGCAATATCAAACAGCAAAACGAGCGGTTTTGTACAGCTAAACATAGCTGGAAGCGAATAAGACCGGAAGCAAGACCCATAACATTTTACAATTGGCCCATTTTTACGGGAAGAATAAGGTGAACAATTGACACTTCGCAAAGACCCACCCCCTTAGTTACTGTTGCATGTCCAACAAGCCCAATGGCGCTCTCACACCACACATTATGTAAAAATACATTGCAGAGCAAAGAGGACACTGACATTGTACCAACAGACAAGACTGCACTTTCAAATTTTTAAATTTTTCAAAAGTTCAAACAAGAAATACCATTTTGTGGCTCTTTACCATACCGTGACAGATCGCTGCAGTTCAAGCAGGACGTGAACTGTTCATCTCTTCCTCTTTACTAGTTATAGCATGAAATAAACATGAATGAACATCAGAAGGTATCTTGTTTCAACCGCGGAAAGTCAATACACAAATTTTTTTAAGTTCAAGTCCACCAACTTTCATCTACTCTTCTGTTTGGTTTGTTTATCAGACAAAATGGCAAACTTGGCATTATGACTGGTCAGACTGCCTGTCAATCAAACTCCTAGCGAAGGGTCCATTAGAATAAAATCGCAGGGAAGTTAAAGCGATAGTTCACCCAAATAAGAAAAGTGCCATCCTTTACTCACTAATTTTTTCTGTGGAACAAAATTAAGATATTTTAAGGAATTTTGTTAAGCAAACAGTTTTGATTACTACTGATTTCCACTCTACGGACAAAACACACCAAGACATTATTCAAAATACCTTCTTTAATGCATCACAGATGTAAGTCATAGTTTTAGAATTTACATTTTTGGGTGAACTATCAAGCAGATGTTACACATTTTTGAGCCAATGTCAAATTTTTTTTTTTTACACTATTTTCATTTAATTTTTTTCAGGGAACAAAGCAAATATTGTTTAACAAAGAAATAAATACCCACAACCCACATTAAAATGAAATTTAATAGAAAAAAAACTGTTATTTTAGAAAGTTTTGTTAGGTATGACAGTTTTTGTCTATGACAGTATACAGTAGTTTATCTATTTCTGCCATTAATAAAAAAAACTATGCTGCCATTAAATTGTATATCATGATTACATCTGCCTCCCTGCTCTTTAGATATCAGTATTTGCCATAGAAAAACCCGTATTAGTTGACCACTAGTCAAAATATATACAATACAGCAATTAAAGCTAATTTCTAATTCTTGAATCTTAAAAAAAAAAAAGAGGAAACAAAGGTACAAAGGCACTTTCCAGATGCTTTACTCTCTCTGTTCCGATGTGGTGGAACAAACTACCATATTGCACCTGATCTGCTGAGACCAAATAAATCACAAATAAATTCCACAAGCACTAAACTACAACCATGATAGCCCTTCATATAATACTAAATTTGAAAAAAAATTATCCAACTAATTCTACAACGTGGAAGTAAGCCTATGGGCGAGACTTCCGGTTCATTAGCTGCTATAGGGAAATAACGAGAAGAATTACAACGTGCAGTAAATGATCAACTGTTTGCACTACAAACTAGTGTGTTCAAAATTAAGATAATACCTTAAAACAATATAAGACAAGACATATTGCAAGTAATACGCAATATCAAACAGCAAAACGAGCGGTTTTGTACAGCTAAACATAGCTGGAAGCGAATAAGACCGGAAGCAAGACCCATAACATTTTACAATTGGCCCATTTTTACGGGAAGAATAAGGTGAACAATTGACACTTCGCAAAGACCCACCCCCTTAGTTACTGTTGCATGTCCAACAAGCCCAATGGCGCTCTCACACCACACATTATGTAAAAATACATTGCAGAGCAAAGAGGACACTGACATTGTACCAACAGACAAGACTGCACTTTCAAATTTTTAAATTTTTCAAAAGTTCAAACAAGAAATACCATTTTGTGGCTCTTTACCATACCGTGACAGATCGCTGCAGTTCAAGCAGGACGTGAACTGTTCATCTCTTCCTCTTTACTAGTTATAGCATGAAATAAACATGAATGAACATCAGAAGGTATCTTGTTTCAACCGCGGAAAGTCAATACACAAATTTTTTTAAGTTCAAGTCCACCAACTTTCATCTACTCTTCTGTTTGGTTTGTTTATCAGACAAAATGGCAAACTTGGCATTATGACTGGTCAGACTGCCTGTCAATCAAACTCCTAGCGAAGGGTCCATTAGAATAAAATCGCAGGGAAGTTAAAGCGATAGTTCACCCAAATAAGAAAAGTGCCATCCTTTACTCACTAATTTTTTCTGTGGAACAAAATTAAGATATTTTAAGGAATTTTGTTAAGCAAACAGTTTTGATTACTACTGATTTCCACTCTACGGACAAAACACACCAAGACATTATTCAAAATACCTTCTTTAATGCATCACAGATGTAAGTCATAGTTTTAGAATTTACATTTTTGGGTGAACTATCAAGCAGATGTTACACATTTTTGAGCCAATGTCAAATTTTTTTTTTTTACACTATTTTCATTTAATTTTTTTCAGGGAACAAAGCAAATATTGTTTAACAAAGAAATAAATACCCACAACCCACATTAAAATGAAATTTAATAGAAAAAAAACAGTGTTATTTTAGAAAGTTTTGTTAGGTATGACAGTTTTTGTCTATGACAGTATACAGTAGTTTATCTATTTCTGCCATTAATAAAAAAAAACTATGCTGCCATTAAATTGTATATCATGATTACATCTGCCTCCCTGCTCTTTAGATATCAGTATTTGCCATAGAAAAACCCGTATTAGTTGACCACTAGTCAAAATATATACAATACAGCAATTAAAGCTAATTTCTAATTCTTGAATCACTAATCTCTCTAATCACTATAATCAAAGCACAAGTTTAATGTGAAAAAAGGTTTTACCAAAAACAAATAACATGATACAAAACAACAACAAAAAAATAGCATACCTGCTTTTCCTAAAATAGCCAAGCATAGCAGAGTGTTGAGAAACTAAAATTAATCTAAGCTTTACAGTATTGTGTGTGACTCGTGTGTCAGAAGGGGTATTAGGGAAGAGCGTTCTGATTGGGTTAACTTGCAAGTGGGTAACAATGAGCAAGGAGGGGGGAGTTGTGACGCTTTGGGGCAAATCATTATTTACTCTCTTGTTCTCCACCCCCTTCTCTCCGAGGCCCTGTTATGATCCCATAAATGAGTCTTATGCAACTCTTTGTGTTAATCCGAGCCCCACAGAGAGAGATGAAGGACCGCTCTCCTTGCCCTCCCCCATCTCTCCAACTGGCTAAATATGCCGTCACCCTGAGCCTCGGGCCGATCATTTCATTTAGAGTGGACTTTCACACATCCCTTCCGCAGTGGCATGCACAGCCTCCGCCTGTTTACTCAAGAGTCTAAAGAAACTTAGCTGCAGCACCTTCACACACCACCATCACTCTGCTTACAGCCTTCTGGCTCGAAGTAATAGTCTTACAGATTTCATTTTGAGATGCTTGTTACTGAGGCACTGTTGGTTCTTAAGGCTTGTTCACACCAAAGATGAAAACTATAACTATAACTGTTCTAATTCTATGAGAGTAGAGAAGTCCACACCACAACAACAATGGCACAGAGTAACAATATCACTGGATTTTTTTCAGAACAATTTTTCCAACTGACAAACGATGAATACATTGAAAGCCGATAAGAATCCACCCAGCTTTTGTGCATTTAAAGCAGCAGACAACATAACCGCAGTGCACACTTATAATATACATAACTTTATTTTCTGTTGGTGTGGACACTAAAATAATTATCTTTATAGTTCTCATTTTTGGTGTAAACAGGCCTTACTCACACTTCCATTGTCAACTGATTCTACTGTCCTCAAAGTTGCTGTGTGAAACAAACCACCAAAAAAATCTGACGATTAACAAACTAGAGTAAGATTTTAAAAATATATAGATTTTCCAATTTATTGTGATCATCATTTGATAGAGATTTTTAAAATCCTAAAGTGTTTTTTTTAGTCAATACCTATTTTCAGTAGCTGTGTTTTGCAAGATTAACTTGTTCAACCACACAGTGTAGACTGTGTTGTTGTTTAAAATTATTTAGAGTTAGAAGGTTGGCAAAAGAAATCATAGTTGTGAATGCTTGCAGTCTGTATTGAATGTGATTCAATAAAAAGATTGTGTACAGCGATAACAGCAAGAAACGTACTTGTACTGTCTAACAAACATAACACGACCAGTGTAGTCTGATTCACAAAAATTACTCTTATCAGAGTTCTTTTAATAAAGGGCTCAAATAAAGAGCTTACCGGTTTGAATCAGTTTGGAAAACTCTTCTGTATAATTTACAGCCTTAGCAGAAAGAGAATTTCTTTCAGTATGTTTCTTTCAAGCAAATGGTCATCAGAACGTAAATGCACCCCAAGGAATCATAATGAAATAACACTGAAATGGAACTGAGAGCCTGTGAATCAGAATCGAATCAAATCCACAAATCTGTACTGATTCCCATCATTATAGCATACAGTTATGAAGAACAGGATTTTGGCCCAATGAAATTCCACTTTGGGTGGGAACATACGAGCACCAAAATACCTTGCTGCTCCATGAAATATCCATTTCTTAACTCTTAATAGTAAATCTTTATCTAGTCTGACTCACTTTCGCTGTTTTTTTTCCAGGTCGTGGTTGCGGCTCTGCTGCCCCTCCAGGTGCAGTTTGGTGTCCTGCAGCTCGGCTGTCAGTCTCTGACATTTCTTCTTCAGCTGCTGTGCCACGCGCTGCACCTCTTCATTGTCCGCCTGCAGGTCTGTCAGCTAAACACACAGATTCTCAGTGAGTCTGTACAGGTGGATCTGTCCATCCAGTGCGTGGCTTGTCTAGATGTATGAGTTTCAGCTAATACATTCAAGCTTGAGACAGTACATGCTGTTGTGTTGGACCACACTGAAAATACGAGTGAAGTCGGAGTCTTTATGATGTGTTGGTTGGTTTGGTAGAATAAAGTCAAAAGGGATGCTGGAAGGGATACTGATTTCCACAATTAAATGAAAATAATAAAACAAAACAAAACTAATATTTGATAACAAATTAAACGGATATTGTGTACCAGACCAGAGCTGTCAGTGTTCGAGTGTGTAAAAATTGTATTTGCGTGTCTAAAACGCCCTTACCTTTCTCTCCAGCTGCCTCTTGTTTTGCTGCTCCACTTCTAGTTTGTCATCGAACTCTTGCTGGAGTCTCTTCTTGGTAAACTCGATCTCTCTGATGGCTCTCTCATACTTGAGCCTCCATTCTCCTCCTGAAAACACAGTCAGCGATGATTAAGGCCACACAATTCATTGTGAAATGCCCTTCGCTGTAAAAGGCTGTTATTTAATTAAATAAATATGTCAGTGCTTCAAAGCGAAGTGGCGGCACTCTTTTGTCTGCTGCACATAGCCCAAGTACTCTATCTCAACAGGTTCAGTGCACTTGTAGTTTGTGGTGCAATTAGAGATGTCAGATGTCGATAATAAAGCAGTTAAATCATATTATTTGGAATCATAATTGCAATATGATTTTTGAGATGAAACACTGCGTGCCAGATTGTCCGTGGTCATTCCCTAAAGAGGATCAAGTAGCTAACTATGGACCTCTGCCAGGGAAATTTCACTGCAATCCTTTTGACTATGGCTCACACAAAATCCCATTCTGTGAATTTGACAGATATATAACAAACTGGGAAAAAAATGCAAATATACACAACTTAATAAATCAAAGCAGAAAAATGAAATGCTCTGAAACCTAGATATGAGAGGTGGCTTTAGCGATGGCATGCAGAATGGAGCCAATCCACGTCACCATTAGAGAAGGTAATTGCTGGAAAGGGAATCAATCAAATGTCCGTGGATTAGCATTAAGCCTTCGAGATCAGCTGCATGACACAGAGGTGAGAACAAGCCGTCACCAGTCTGACACATGCATTTAAATGAGCTCAGTTCATGACAGCAGTGATTCTGCGTTTTCAAATCCGTAGCAAGCATTTTGATAGGAAAGGATGACGAATACGGAAAATCTAAAAAACACATACGAAAATTTCGGACCTTTAGTCTTCAACGACCACCAAAAATAAAAATTTTAAATAACCTTTTTCTATTTTAATAGATTTTAAAATGTTCCTGTAATACTGTTTTATAGGGAAAAAAATGGTTTGGTGGTAAATGTTGGTTTGCAGTATTTTCGATAATTTAAGCAAAAATATTTATTAAAATTAAATAACCATTCAACCCGTTTACCAGTTAAGCTTGATGAATGCAGTCAACACTGTAATATTTGTAAAAATGGAAAATTCTAAAAAAAAAATAATTTACTTGTCTTCACATCATGATGCAGAATGGGTCTAGTCTATTCGGCATTACAATTCACAAAATCAGACATGAACAAAGCATTACTTTACTAACTGAATATAAGCTTTAGCAATAGTTTGATGTTAAATCTATTGAATTGTTGAATACCGTCAAGAAGGTAAAAATCTCTTGAGGTGGGCCCAAAAAATTGATCTGATGAGTTTAAAAGTTACTTTTCATGCTAGGTTAATTTTATGTTAGATAGCGTTTTTGTATCTAACAGTTCTCAAAGCAAAACATGTGGATTTTTGTCTCTAACACTTTAAAAAAAATAATGAGAAACCAAATTATCCCTCTTCATGGAAAGTTCCAGAAGCACAGGTATAAAGGAATGAAAAAGAGCGAGAGAGACATAGAGAGAGAGATTGTGCGTATGTTTGGTGTTTTCAGTGCCCCCTGGCATTTCCATATAAACAGCTTAATGAGGAGCAGCAGCTCTGATGCTGCAGATTATTTTCTCATTTGTCTGGAGATGCCACGCTGAAACGCTCAGCACACCTGAAGCTCTCCTCCTCACCAGAGAGTCATGGGCCGCCACACTCATGGAAATCCTCCCAGATAACCCTTCAATTCTGCCAAAACGATTCAGGAAGGCTGTGATAGTTTTCGCTCAAAGCTTTGCTCAAAGCTCAGCCAACGCTCATGAGGGAATCCCTTCACCGAGGTGTTTGATTCCAAAAATCCTCCGTCCAGGAAATGACATCACAAACTTACCAGTGTCATCGTCGTCCATTTCCCCGTTGAGCTCTGATGCCCGTATGAGTCGTGCCTCCATCACCTCCATCTCCATAGACTCCATCTGCTTCTTCATAGCCTCAAACTTGGCCTGACATGCAAACACACACACAGACGCAGAGCACATCAGCTCTCTGTTCTGCAGGGAAATACTCAGACCATCTGCTCACACAGGCAACCTTGAGCCTAAGAGACATATAAAAACTCACACACACACACACACACACACACACACACACACACATACACACACCCCACGCATACAAACACCTGCAGTCTCTCGCTCACACACACTACATCTTAAAAACTCACACACACACACACACACACACACACACACACACACACACTCCAGGCATACAGAGACAAACACCTGCAGTCTCTCGCTCACACACACTACATCTTTCACATTGATATTTGATATGAGACGACACAATTTGTATACGGCTCACGCTCTGCTGCATGAACTGCATTGTCTGTGCATAGGCAGAAAATATCTATTTCAGGCATGAGGAGATTTCCTCACAGAAAACCATCAAGTCACAATTCCGTTTCTGTTCAGAAGAGTGCGTGTGGTACCTGTAGATCCTTCATGTCTTTCTCAAGCCTAAGTCTCTCCGAGGTCTCGGACTCCAGCAGCTGCGAGGCGGATTCGCCCGTGTTGCGCTCATCGGCGAGCTCTGATGAGAGTTCTGTGATCTGAAACACACATATAATGAGCGAACGTGAAGTGTGTGACCACGAGATGTGTCACACATGCTCTATGCAAACTTTAGAGTAGTGTATGAGCTCATCTCATGCACATATGCAGCACTTCACATCTGTATCATCGCTCACATATTTCACACACAGATGACGGATTTTTTTGTAATGTGGTGAGATGGTGACAGCGTGAGGTCTGGGTGTCTGTGACTGTGTGTGTATGTGTGTGTGTGTGTGTGCATGAAGGTGTGATTTTGTACACTGATGCAATACTGATATATGTATAGAAATAACCTGATGTAGGAATTTTATTATGGATGCCTTATATTGGACATGTAAATGCAGGGATGCATTACGCTTTGGTATCAAATTGACAAAAATAGCAACAAAAAACCCTAGATATTTGACCCAAAATATGTTTCACATTATGCTTGAATTGTGATGTTATTCTAATAGACCGATCTCGGTTTATAATGCTGGTTGTATTAATTAAACAACAACACAGGCAACCTTGAGCCTAAGAGACATATAAAAACTCACACACACACACACACACACACACACACACACACACACACTCCAGGCATACAGAGACAAACACCTGCAGTCTCTCGCTCACACACACTACATCTTTCACATTGATATTTGATATGAGACGACACAATTTGTATACGGCTCACGCTCTGCTGCATGAACTGCATTGTCTGTGCATAGGCAGAAAATATCTATTTCAGGCATGAGGAGATTTCCTCACAGAAAACCATCAAGTCACAATTCCGTTTCTGTTCAGAAGAGTGCGTGTGGTACCTGTAGATCCTTCATGTCTTTCTCAAGCCTAAGTCTCTCCGAGGTCTCGGACTCCAGCAGCTGCGAGGCGGATTCGCCCGTGTTGCGCTCATCGGCGAGCTCTGATGAGAGTTCTGTGATCTGAAACACACATATAATGAGCGAACGTGAAGTGTGTGACCACGAGATGTGTCACACATGCTCTATGCAAACTTTAGAGTAGTGTATGAGCTCATCTCATGCACATATGCAGCACTTCACATCTGTATCATCGCTCACATATTTCACACACAGATGACGGATTTTTTTGTAATGTGGTGAGATGGTGACAGCGTGAGGTCTGGGTGTCTGTGACTGTGTGTGTATGTGTGTGTGTGTGTGTGTGTGCGCGTGAAGGTGTGATTTTGTACACTGATGCAATACTGATATATGTATAGAAATAACCTGATGTAGGAATTTTATTATGGATGCCTTATATTGGACATGTAAATGCAGGGATGCATTACGCTTTGGTATCAAATTGACAAAAATAGCAACAAAAAACCCTAGATATTTGACCCAAAATATGTTTCACATTATGCTTGAATTGTGATGTTATTCTAATAGACCGATCTCGGTTTATAATGCTGGTTGTATTAATTAAACAACAACATTCAAAAGAAAAAAGCTGTTAGCTGAATACCTTTAGCAGCTTTTACAAGCATTAATGTACAGTATTGTATCTAAAAAGCATGCACTTGCAGATGGTGCCAGTCATGTAATAATTTACTTTAATTAAATTTCCTTTTTTTCCTATTACTGAATGTTTATTTGAATACTTGAGATATTGCTGTAACCTTTTAATTCATTTGATTTTTACAAAAAAATAAGTTTTTGTTCGCTTGAATAAATAATAAAATGTATTATATGAAGAATATACATTACATGTATACTATTTGATTATATTAAATATTATTATCAATACTATATAAATTAATGTAAATCAATTATATTATTTAAATATAAAATATTATGGTATAAAATACTTCAATAACGTTTTCTTGAATAATTCATTTTATGGCTTTTTTTTTGTTAATATTTGTATTAACATGTATTTTTTAAAGGGGTCATATGATGCTGCTAAGAAGAACCTTATTTTGTGTATTTGGTGTAATGAAATGTGTTTATGCGGTTTAAAGTAAAAAAAACATTATTTTCCACATACTGTACATTATTGTTTCTCCTCTATGCCCCGCCTTTTTGAAACGCGTCGATTTTTACAAAGCTCATCGGTCTGAAAAAGCGAGGTGTGCTGTGATTGGCCAGCTATCCAATGCGTTGTGATTGGCCGAATACCTCAAGCGCGAGACGGAAATGTTACGCCCCTCACATACTGTTGATGCCGTGTCCGGCCGGAGCGACGAGACAACATTAAAACCCATTACAAACGAGGCATTTGTTGCATCCAGTGGAGACATAATTACTGATCATAATGACTTACACTGTCTTTTTACGCGTTGTATTGCGCCGCGCCGCGTAAACATAAAACTCATTTGTGCATTTTTGATCGGAGAAATGACAAACAACAAGTGCTACTCTGAAAAACACAGCGGCCTAGCGTGAGCCGAAGCCCCGGCTTAGCGTGCGCTGAGGCCGGCCTAGCGTGAGCCGAAGCCCCGGCTTAGCGTGCGCTGAGACTGGGATAGAGTGAGCTGAGGTGGCGGAGTCGAGAACGTCGCGCCCGGCGGAAGAGACGAATGAGCGGCAACCACATGTGAAGAATAAAAGTTACGCCTTCTTTCTTTGCATGAACATTTGGGCGGTGTTATGCAAATAGTCCCACATAGTGAGGTAGATATGTGTTAGAACGAGCCGTTTTAGGTAGGTGTGGCTGACTCTGAACTTTTATAAAGAATATCTCTTTGGATTTGAGACTTTAGTCTTTGCAACTTTACAGATCTTCTTTATGCACCAAGAGCTTGTAACACTCCAAAGAGAAAGGAAAAATTTTAATCGCATCATATGACCCCTTTAAATAAAAGGGGTTATGTTAATTATTATAACCCCATACATTTTTGCTGTTAACTTGAATTATTTATTTAAATGTAACCAATTTTATTTGTTGATATTTATACTAATATGTAACTTCTTAAATAAAACATACTAATTAGTGTAATTCCATTCATTTTTGCTGTTATCACAAATTTCTAATCTGGAATCATGAAATACCATTGGCACTGCTTACTGAAACATTGGTATTTGGTATGTGATAAACTTGTAAACTTCAGTTTCTTTCAACTGAATGAGATTGACTTCAAATTCAGTTCAGATTCAATTCAAAATTTGATTTTAATTGAATTGATTTTCAGCACTAACCTTGCTTTCCAGTCTATCACTATTGAGTCTCAACTCATTCCTCTCCTTCTCCACTTTCTCCAGCTTCAACTTGAGTTGCTGAATTTCCTCCTAAAAGACAGACAGGCAATTAAAGGAACACAATAATAAGACAGTTAGAAAGATAAGATGACAAAATTCAGCTGATACTGTATGTAGAAAAATGACCACAGACAGTCAGACATCCAGACACAATGACAGCCACTATATTTAGCGAAGTATAGAGATAGACAGGTGAGATAAATTAGAACAGAATGACAGACAGGTAGAAACCCTGCCCTATTCTCTGAGTCTCTGCGACTCTGTACCGCAAACCTCCTCCCACTTTCCTAAACTTTTCTTTTGCCAACTTGAGAGAACTGCAGGCTACAGCCAATCGGTTGCAGCTATGAAGGCTGTTTGTGCAGAGGAGACAGTGACTCTGTGTTTGTTTTTTAAAAGCAGGCTGTTTGGAGGCAGTGTCAGCACCCGTCTGTCTCTCGCAGGAGCACGCCTGACTGCATGGCTACACAGGCACTCAGCGGGACGCAGCCCAGCGGACAAAACACGCACGCACGCGCACACGCTCTGTGACATGCTAATGCACTCCCCCACGGGAAGCAGAGTTGCTTTTGATCCAGCTAGCTACATAGGTAATGTATGCATACACACAACCCTGCCACTCTCCCCACACACAAACACACACAACTCTACAAACACTCGGATTGAGGCGAAGCTGCAGAGACAAGAGGAGACAGTGACTCTGTGTTTGTTTTTTAAAAGCAGGCTGTTTGGAGGCAGTGTCAGCACCCGTCTGTCTCTCGCAGGAGCACGCCTGACTGCATGGCTACACAGGCACTCAGCGGGACGCAGCCCAGCGGACAAAACACGCACGCACGCGCACACGCTCTGTGACATGCTAATGCACTCCCCCACGGGAAGCAGAGTTGCTTTTGATCCAGCTAGCTACATAGGTAATGTATGCATACACACAACCCTGCCACTCTCCCAACACACAAACACACACAACTCTACAAACACTCGGATTGAGGCGAAGCTGCAGAGACCGTAATCAAAGAGACGGGCGCTTTGGGTGTGACTGAGTGCTGCAGTTGAATTTGAGAGGGACCCCCGCAGGGCGGAGAAACCGAGAGGGACATTAAAAGCCACACAGATGAGCTTTAAATTCAGCTGTGCTATTGTCAAAAGGCAAAACCTGTACATGCCATGCCTATTTAGAGCATTTGAAGTGGTTAGCGAAGATGACGGGCGCTTACGTCTTTGCCACGGATCTGTTCCTCTGAAAGCTGAACCTCGATGAGAGGACGGACGGTGGTGAAGAGTTTCCACCACGGCCAGCCTTTCACACCCCGGTTCTTCTTGATGTTTTTCTGGATGCAGCGGATTGCCAAGTTCTGGATCTGAAAAACAAAGACATTGTGTTTATGACTGAATGTTCTTCCTACTGCTGTGCTTGTGAGAAATTGTCAGGTCTTGTGCAGTACAGTGGTTCAAACCAATCAGAGGCCAGATGGACAATAGCAGGCCTGTGTTTAGAGGCCAGGGCCCCGCGGTCAAAGAGCTTCCCTTGGGGAAACCAGCACTGAATGGACCTTTTCAGCTCCAGGACGTCCACAGTATGGTCCGCAATAAGCCTGAGGGTGGGACTATTGACGCAAGGAACCACCAAGTGAGGTATAACCCCAAGAGCAAGCAAAATGTTTTATAATGAAATATGAGAGAAATATTTATTATTTTAAAACTAAATTATAGTATTTTAAAAATTAATATTTCAAAAAAAGTTTAAACTTTGTTATTTAATATAACAATATTTGTAAAAATGGATGTAATAATTACCTTTTTTTTACATTTTATTTATTACATTGGATAGGCCTACTTAAGTATTTTACAGAATTATCCAATTAAATTACATTTAATATTTAAGAAGTGTTTAAATGTAATATTAAAAAATAATTTAAAATCATAAAATTATTTTAATAAATATATATTATTTTTGAATAGTATTTTCTCTTAATTATTTATTTTAATATTTTATTTATCACACTGTGTAGGGCTACTTATCAATTTCAGAGTGTTATCAAATTAAATAAAATGCAATATTTAGGAAATATTTCAACGTAATCTTTAGAAAAAATTAATTTAATATTTAAAAAAGTAAATGAACAAATACTAATTTTAAATATTTTCTTTTATTTATTTATTTATACATTTTATTCATTACAGTGGGTAGGTCTACTTATCAATTTCACAGTATTATCATGAGGCTTATGAGAATCTATTAATGAGACTGTGAGTGTGTGTAAAAAAAAAACAAATAAATAAAATAATATATATATATATATATATATATATATATATGGCGTATATATAAACATCTGTTATGTGAAATAGCTTATTCAGGACAGTACTAAATAAAAAATAACATGCAATTTTCATGAGCTCTCTTATTTTGTTAATTATTAACATATTCTGCAAGGGGTATGTAAACTTATGAGCACTATTGTGTGTGTGTGTGTGTGTGTATATATATATATATATAAAAAAATTCTATATATCTATATCAAACCAATTTAGAGTAATTTGCTCATAAATCAAATTAATAATTGAGAACTTAGATTTTTCATATTTATAGCACGGCATGAACACACAGTCAGTTATCTCACACGTCTCAGTGTGCTACTCATTTATTTCCACTCTAGACTCAGAAAAAAAACCGCCGCTCTACTCCATCAAGTGGACATAAACATGGCTTACATACTAACCCTCAGCAAAACACCCATTACTTGTGTTGATCACAGGAAGAATAAATGGAAAACAAACACATTTTCTTCAATGAGGCCGTCAGAAGGCTATACAGAGGAGTGATTCTGGAGTCGTACCAACTGTGTAGAAATGCAGTGCGAAGCAAAAGCCCCAAGCTCCTTTGAGTAATTCAATTAAACTTCAATACTACTTGGCAGCTGATTTAAACCTTGCATAAGATTTACATGCTGCAGGAACAGGGACGATTCAAATAATAGAGGATTATCTGGAAACCCAATTAGACAGGCCCAATTCAGCACATTAACGGGACCGAGTCCGTGCACGCTGCGTTCGAGCTATGTCTAATTTGTCACGGCGAGAAAGCTTCGGCACAGAACAGAGGCGGCGCGTGGCCGACATATGCACCGCAGCTCATTTGCCACGCTTTGACCACAACAAATGCCACAAACAGCCATCTAAACAGCTTGTAAGAGACGGCGAAATCAGGAAGAGCTTCCTAATTAAAATGGCCGTCTGGAGGATATGGTGCCTGTGAGCCCTGGGGCCTGGCAGGAGCGGATGCGACTCCAAACAAAATCGCCCACAACCCTTCCAACAGGTGTGTGGTGTGAATTTGAATACGGATCAGCAGGTGGCATTCATCTGCACGTATGAACACATTTGAGCACACTCACACGTGTCTGCGAGGGCACCTGTTCACACTTGGAGCGAAAGCTTGCGTCTTTAGGCAATGAGTTAATTAGACACATGATTGGCATTCATGAAATTCCCAGCTCCCTCTAGTGTCATTTCCGCTGAACGTCAACGAAACTTGGGGAGGAGCCGACGAGCTTCAAAGAAGCCCACGTGGAGTTGTTCTCCTTTCAGATGCCCCCCACAGAGACAGTGAGGAGAGAGGAAAGACAGAGAAATCTGGAGGGACTGAAGGCTTAGAACGCACTCTAAAACTGGAACAGACTTCAAGGTGCTGAGATCCCTCCATTATCGATCTGAGAGAGAAACAAGCAAATTGATTTTGCATTGAGGCAACTGTGGTTTGCCACAGGAAGCCTGGTCCCACATGGCTGTCTCTCAGGGATCTGCTGTAAAGATTCAACTCAACACTGCTTGTCTTGACCTGATTAAATACATCCTATAAAACAGAAATGACTCCATCACATACTTAGGTCTTTCCATTTCCACTTTCCACTCACTTTTTTAGATTTAGAAGAGGATATGATACTGAGATTCTGTCGAAGACTGTTTTCATCACTAGGTCAGGGGCCTTTGTAGTGTCACATAACTAGACATTTAATCAGAGCAATGGTTCAATTTGCACATTATTCTAGCCAAGAAACACAAAACAGAATGGAAGAGACCATCTTATGACAAGAAAAATAACTGACCGTAGTTTTTGTTGAATAATACTACAATATAATTCCATTCAAACGTTTGGGATAAGTACGATTTTTTGATGTTTTTGAAAGAAGTCTCTTATGCTCACCAAGGTTGCATTTATTTGACAAGGAAATAAAATTATTCTCAATTGTAATATATTTTAACATTTATTCCTATGATGGTAAAGCTGAATTTTCAGCAGCCATTACAGGCCACATGATCCTTCAGAAATCATTCTAATATGCTGATTTGCTGCTCAAGAAACATTTCTTAATAAATCTTGATACATTTTTAAAATTATGCGACAAATAGAAAGTAAAAGAAAACCATTTATTTGAAAGATAAATCTTTAATGCTTCCTTGCTGAATAAAAGTATTTCTTCAAAAACCTTAACCCAAAATTTTGAAAGGCAGTGTACAAAAAGACTTGTTAATGTCTATTTCAAAAAGTATTTTAATTAAATAATAAAAAAGACAGAGAGAATTGTCCATTTGTGGCAGATTGCAGAAGAAGAAAAAACCTATACAACGTACCAATTTTTTTTTTACGAACATACCTTTGAAAACATGGCATAATATCAAATTCTGCTTGTGGATATTTAATTTTAGTAAGTTCCTCAAACAGTGTACTTCTTAGTGAAAATTTATTTCAAAGATCTGATGTCACTATCCAGAAAACCAAATTCTGTGATTATTTCATTCTCAAAAGCTCTTATTTGTGTACCTTGACTTCCAGAAATGGCCTAAAACCATTCAATCAGATTACAGCTTGTCAGAAAAAGAAAGTGTTGGCATTTTTGCATGTAATATTCATTATATAGTCACTGACAAATCCATGGGCGTCTGAGGTTACGGCCCATCAGAAGACTTTCTACAGCTACAACTAGGGATGGGTACCGAAACCCGGTATTTAATCGGTCCCGGGGCTAAATTATGAAAGACCGGAGTATCGATAAGCTCTGACGTTAACGGTTCTGCTATCGGTATTAGAGAAATTAAGAAAACACACATACATTTATTTTTTGCTATATACAGTATACACATTATCTTGCAAATTCTATCTCACCAGAGTCGCCAGCTGTTTTTATATACAATGATATTCAAACATTTGTCTATGATGCATTTTTGCTATTCGCAATTCAGAAGCGAGATCGCGCTCGTGCGGAGGAGCTTCAGCACGTGCAACATGAGAGCCCTGTTTAATTATGATAGAGGAGAAAACTAAACATTCAAACATGCTTACACTTTAGGCCTGTGGCTGTTTTATTAAGCCAATTAAATTTTTTATTTTGATTTTGGCTTTTAAGGATTATAGCCGCATTTCTTCTAGCGCAACTTTTTTCTCTTCACAGCGGTGCGCATTCGTTCCTCCCTAAAACCCAAATTTAAAGTCAGAATCAGCACAATCGGTGATTGTTGAAAAAAA